TACAGACAGTTGTGAGCTGCCATGTGGGTGCTGGGATTCGAACCTGGGTCTTCTGCAAGAACAACCAGTGTTCTTAATTACTGAGCCATCTCTCCAGCCCCAATTAAGCAGAATTTTAACAGTCTTCAAAAATAACCCTTGGGGGACTGTGGCTCATTTGGTAAAGTGTTTGCCTACCATGCATCTAGTGCTGCCTAAGACGGGCATGATGGCACGCTCCTGTGGTCCCAGCGCTCAGAAGGTGGAGATAGGAGTATCACAAACTTCAAGGTTATCCTCAACTACATAGGGGGTTTGAGGCCAGCCTAGGCTATGTTGAGACTTTGTCTCAGAAAAAAAAACCAAAAGAGGGGCTTGTGAGATGGCTCAGCAAGTAAAAGTGCTTGCAGCCAAGACTGATGACCTGAGTTTGATCTAGGACCTAAATGGTGGAGGGAGAGGATCAATTCCTGCATATTGTCCTCTGACCTCCACCACAAACTGTGGCATGTGAACATGTGTGCACGAGCACATGCAAGCGCGCGCGCACACACACACACACACACACACACACACACACACAAACACAGCAGTACTTGGTTTAGAGCTGTTACTTTTACTTTTGTTGCTATGATTGTTTTTGGAACAGAGTCTTACAGGCCAGGCCAGCCTCAAACTCCTCATCCTCCTGCCTCCCGTGCGCTCGATTTCAGGTGTGCTCCAGCATGCCCAGCTCAATGTAACTTTACAGTTGCTTTCAATGCGCTTGTATGGTTTCTACGCTTTGTTCTTTTGTGAATCAGTTTTTCCTACTGAATTCATTCTAATCTGGACACTTCCTTCTCGGCAGTGCGCCACATACTGAATATCTAAAATACTCATTCCACTGCGCCATTTCCTGGCGTGTTCTCTGTTTTTTGCTCGGTCTTCAAAATGCTTTACTATTAAGTGAACGCTACCAGTACAAAACCAATACTAAGTCGAAATCAATGTTAATTTGAATGTTTCCGAGTTTAAATGTTTGCTAACATAGTACATCAGGGTTATAAACTGTTCAGTGTTCCTAGTTTATATTTAATAGCATTATTTCCTTTTAGTTAAGTGATATTCACTATCTTAACCCTTATGTGTATGTGCATATACGCACGTGTGTGTGTGTGTGTGTGTGTGTGTGTGTAGGTCAGAGGTGGATATCAAGTGCCTTCCTTAATCACTATTACAATATTTTTTTGTTTTGTTTTTTTTGAGACAGGGTCTCCCTGCAGCCCCAGCTGACCTGGAACTCGCTATGTAGACCAGGCTGGCCTCAAATTCACAAAGATCCACCTACCTCTGCCTCCCAAGTGCTGGGATTAAAGGCATGCGCCACCACACCTGACTTCACAGTATTTTTTGAGACAGGGTCTCTCACTGAACCTGCTGATTTGGCTAACTGGCTGGTCAGTGACATCACCCCAGCCCCTCCAGGGCTGGGGTTACAAGCATGTACTGCAGGACCTGGGCTTTTACAAGGGTACTGGGGATCTAAACTCAGGTCTTCATTCTTGTGTGGTAAGTACTTTACTGACTTAGACATCTTCACAGCCCCCATATTAACCCTTTTAAAGTGTATAATTATACAGCATAGGGTATTATACTTTGCATTTAAAAATATTTTGTAGCTGGCCATGGTGACACAGGCCTTTAATTCCAGCACTTAGGAGGCAGAGGGAGGTGGACCTCTGTGAGTTCAAGGCCAGTCTGGTCTACATAGTGAGTTCTAGGCCAGTTGGGGCTACAGGGAGACCCTGTCTCAAAGACTTTAAAATACATATATATATATATATATTATTTTATTTTATGTGTATGAGTGTATTGCCTGCATGTGTGTAAGTGCACCCATATCATGCGGTGCCCACAGAGGTCAAAAGAGAGCATCGGATCCCTTGGCGTTATGAATGATTGTTAGTTTCCATGTGGATGCTGGGAATTGGACCTGGGCCCTCTGCAAGGGCAGCCAGTGCTCTTTACCGCAGAGCCATCTCTCCAGCCCCTCATGCACTTTTTTTGAGACAGGGTCTCATGTAGCTCAGTCTGGACTTGAACTCACTATATAATCAAGGAAAACCTTAACTCCTGATCCCCTGCCTCTGCCTACTGAGTACTGGAGTTGCTAGTATACACCACCTCACCCAGCTTCATGTTTATTTAATATATCTTATTTTTTGCAGTGTTGGGGACCAAACATGGACCTCATGTATGCTGGGCAAGCACTCTGCCACCAAACAACAGCTTCAGCCTGCACTTTAAATACTTTAAATCCAAAGTGTGTTCAACAGACAGTCAGCTGAGTGTGGTGATGGCAGAGTGCCCTACTGTGGGGATGTTAGCAGCCTGGTTCGGGGACTGGCTAGGAGGGCAGACAGCAGTGAGGAGGAATGTGTAAGTTTCCCCAGACCAGGGATGGAGAGATACTCAGGAGGAACTCACGTGTGCTCCTTTCTATTCTCTTTTTTGTGGTACTCGACACAAATTAGCTTGAACCTAAGGCCTTGTTCATGCAAGGCAAGCACTCTCCTGTGAAGCTATCCCCCAGCCCTACTGGTATATTTTACTTATTTATTGAGACAGTCTAATGTAGGCCAAGCTGGCCTCAAATTTTCTATGTAGCTGAGGACTGCCTCTACTCCTGAATGCTGGGTTTACAGATGTTCACCACCACACCCCATTTATTACTGTTACTTTTTTCCTTTTTTTTTTTTTTTTTTGGTCTTTTTGAGACGGTCTCCCTGTAGCCCCAGCTGTCCTGGAACTCACTATGTAGACCAGGCTGGCCTTGAACTCACAGAGATCCACCTGATTCTGCCTCCCGAGTGCTGGGATTAAAGGCATGCACAACCACGCCTGGCAACTGTTACATTTTTTAAGCAGCTGGTCTTGTCAAATATTCTACTTCAGTGCTTGGGGGTCTATGAGGTATTCACTGTCATCCTAAGACAGGTTGTGGTGATTCAAATTTGAGTCCTTGGTTCCTCTTGACTCAGTGGCCCAAATCCCCGGCAAACTCTGTCATAGGAGGCTACAGTGCCCTGGCTAGTAAATCCCAAAGCTACTGACAGGCTCCTGGGAAGTCTGGTACCTGGACTCTTGGGACTCAGGATGCCTGTGACAAAGAAAGACAGTAGCACAACTCGGACCAGGGCCAGCTCCCTTCTCAGGTGAGTTGGTCACAGCACTGTGCTGGGTATCAGACACCTTCCCCCCACAATATGGTTAGGCCTCTCTCAGGGCTTGCTGGGATCAGAGCACTGGGCTTGCTCAGGTGGACCTCTGTACCCCAGTCATAGCTGCCTCACTGTAGAAAACTTGTACTATCTCCTGTGGCTGGCAGTTCAAACCCAGGAGCTGCTGACAGTAGAGTTTGTGTCACGAGGGGGTGGGGCTTGTGTGACTGAGCCAAGCGGGCACTGAGAAGAGAATTACTAGTGAGGAACAGTGGCGCACATCCATGATCCTAGCTTTTGGGAGGCTAAGACAGGAGGATTTGGAGTTTGAGGCCAGCCTGAGCTACACAGTGAGTTCAAGGCCAGCTTGGCCCACATAGTAGGGATCCTATCTCAAATAAACAAAAATAGACCAACAGGATTAGTAGTAACCATTTTTTTCTCTCTTGTTCTTGAGGCAGAGTTTTGCTATGCAGTTGCAGCTAGCCTCCAAACAGTGGTCCTCACAAGTGCTGGGATCACAGGCGTGCACCACCACACCTAACTTGCAATAGCCGCTTCTACTTCTGAGTTCACTGTGTGTCAGGCAGGCACCATCACAGTGCACACAAATTAGCTCATGTGACCACCACAGCCTCAGAAGGTAGGTGGCATCGCCTATTGCCACTCCACCACAGGGACAAGGTGCTGTGGCAACACTGCCACTGATGGTCACACAGGTGTTGAGTGGCAGAGGTACGTGTGAACCCCAGCTGCAAGTCCCTGCTCTAACTCTTGTTATCCCTGACTATATATGTGTCTGATGGAGGAGCTCCAGATGGCCGTGTCTCTCCACATATAGAAGAGATGCTGATTCACAGGCCAGATTCAGGTCTCAGCTCTGCCACGACCCTGGCTGATCCGATACTTGTCTGCACCTTAGTTTCCTCCAAGTGACAGTATGAAGATGAAATAAGATAAGCTGTGCAAGCATGGGCTGGGAGACTGGCATGGAGTCAAGTTCAAAATATCATGACCTGGGGTATGAAGTGGCCATGAGAGCCGGCTGTCTGGGGAGGAGAGGGGAGCCACAGGTTTGGGCTAGGGGTGGCTCATGGCTTAGGACAAGGCTTAGCAGCCAAATCTCAGCCCTCAGCAGTGCCATGAGCTGCCAGGCACCTGTAGATGGCAAAGGAAGAAACCGGCAGACAAAGGAGGCTGGCCTCAAGGCAGAGAAGATTCTA